CTGAACCAATAACTGTGCAATGAAGGTGTGTGGAGTTCAGCCACCTCCTGAAGGCTTCCAGGAGTGACTCAAGGAGGATTTGTTTCTCTGCCGGCAAACTGCAGCATGTTATCCCCCCCCCGTGTGCCTTTGACTGGGTTACTTGGCACACAGTAAAGTGAAGGTAAAGGAGTCACCCAGTATTGTGTGATACACACACAGATTTGCAGAAGTTTAGGGCTGGAAAGGACCTTGTGGGATCATTGGGTCCAGCCCCCCCTGCTCTGGGCAGCAAAGACTGCTAGAGTCAAATAACTCCAGCAAGATGTGCATCCAGTCACAGATGCACACAAGCCTCTCTGTAAGGTAGTGGTCACTATCTTTTCTGAGGAAGAAATTCAAACGCTCAAGCTGAGATCCTGCCATTTTAATGAGGTTTCAGAGCAGGCTCGGTTGCCTTTTTTTGCCTCACCAAATTGCTAAATTCTGCTCGCAACTATGCTGTTCGCCAGTAGATACATCTTAGTCAAGAGCCCATCTAGATTTCTGCAGCTCCTATTTAGAGCAGCACCTGGCCCCCGATGCTGAAGAGGGGGCATTGCTTTAAAAAGAGAGAGAAAACAGCATAATATTTTGAAAATAAAGGCCATAGTGAGGCTCTCCAAGCATGTGCCCATCATGTATACACCCTCATTCAAGAAATACACCTCATTCTAATATAGTTCACTTTGTGTGTGTGTGGCATGACACAGCAGATAACCCCCAAATATTTCATAAGACCCACAGAATGTCAGGGTTGGGTTGTGTCAGTATTGGTGGATTCATTCAGAGGTTGTGTCAGTTTTGAAAAGAAAAAACAAGTTGGTATCACATTTGCTGAGGCCCTTTCCATGGAAAAGTATGTATCAGGCTTTAAATGGAGCATTTCACTTTACTTTGGTTTCATAAATTATATCAGCTGCTGCCTTAGTGTGGGACACTCTTCTCAGCAGTAATGATAACTTATTTTAACTCCTATTATTTGGAGCTTGTCTAGGATGCAGTAACTTGATGGTTCACTGCTCTGAGTTAGCATAATTATATTATACCTACTCCACAGTTAGGTTGCCTAACAAAGTAGATTCATGAATGATCCATCTATGAATTTAAATTAATGCCGCTAGCTTTAGAGCCTACAATATCTGGTCCTTGAATCTTTTATAGACAATAGCCATAATCCTATAACCTTCAGAGAATCTGACTGACTTCCTGGTAGTCTAAATGGGGGCATGCATCCACCCTTCTAAAACAAGTTGCAAGTATCAGGGTCAGTATCTGCATTCACATACTGCAATGCTTTCAGGGTCCTGTTATCACAGCTGCGACCCTGCCATGCTCATGAAACTGCCTTCCCACCAAAATCGGGTCTGCTTTGTCCCATCCTACTTTTGAAAAATCTCTTTCAACCATTTTTCCCTTCTAAGGAATTTTGGAATGATCACTTGGCCTGTATTTGTACCTGTCTTCCACTCCTTTTTATAAGGGATCTTCTGATTTGTTTCAATGGCTTTGGACTTTCAAAGGATGACACTGCGTGTTACTAAATTTGTTTTCATTCTTTTGTACAATGCCATGGGCACTGGCCACAGAACTAAGTACACAATATGCTACAATGATTACAAATTAATGCTAACTATTATTGTACTACTTTCAGAAAAAAATACACCAGGCCAATTTGCATTTTGAAATTCTGGGGCAATGCTGGTTCAGAATGTCATTTTTCTTTTCTGTGGACACTAAACAGATGTGATCACTGCGGCCAGACAACCTGTTGCCAGGAATACACTGCATAATCTAATCATCTTTTATTTCAACAGAGCAGTACAAATAGTTGAAAAATATTCAGTTCTGTTCCCAATGTATGAACTAGAAAATTAAAGTTGGTCTAGTTCATTTGCATAGTTTTATGAATAATACACAAACCACTAAGAGTGAGAATTTAGCAAAAGGTTTATTACCAGCTTATTGTTAAGGAAGAAGATTTTCAGCAATAAGTATCAGGGACAGTATAACTGGGGCTCTATAGAGAGCCTACTGAAAAACATGTGAACCATAAAGTTTTAAAATTCTGGGATTTAATCAAGGCCCCTAAATAGCTTTCCAAAACTGCCTTGATTCTGCATGCTGGATCCAAACTAAATGAACCGGTAGTACTTTCGTTGTAGCTAAAGGACTTCAGTTGACTTTGAGAATGAAATATTGGGTCCCTGAGGAAACATAATTGGACAATGCTAGGTTCAGAGACTGAACAAAAAATTGGCAACAAAGTTAACAGAAAACAGAAAAAAACATAAAGCTAAAAATAGAGTCCTAACATTTCAAAACATTTTAGTGATAGATAGCATCAATAAATCTGAAAGGCAGAAGTTAGCTTAATGAAACCTTTGCTTTCACTTCTTTTTAAAAGTGATATGATGTTCACATGTTTAAAAACCAAGACTGGGCAGGGCCCTATAATGATGCCCAGCCTGAAAATGCCGTGCAATAGATTAGTCAACTACCTGATGATTGCCCTACCATGGGGGAATACTTCAGAACATAAAGCTGACTAGCATAATATAATATACCCTATGTGACATAAAGCCGAGAGCAGTTTTTGTCCATACACCAACACAAGAGCATGGCAATGATGCCATTATACATTTGGAAATCTCTGGCTTGTAGAATGGCCTTCTAAGGCCAATGGGAAATGTTCGCTACCTCATATATCAGCCTTATGAGAGTGTGTGGTTGGGGGGGAGGTTGAGATGCTATTCTAGTTCCTTTAACCTACCTAAATATTGTTATTTGCTGTCAATATACTATACTTGGGGAACAGTTAGATCATTGCTGTAAGCATTTGTGAAACATTACCTGTTAAAACAGAAGATTTAACACACTAAGCAGAGTAGTAAATATACTTTATTGCATTCCATTTGTAATATTTTAAATGATGGAAAACAAGAGAGCTAAGGAATTTTCTCCCTCGGATTTTACTGTAGGAGCTTTCAATAAAGCAGTTGAACATTTTGGAAGGCTGGACATTTTGGTTAATAATGCTGGAGTGAATAATGAAAAGGACTGGGAAAGCACTATACACATTAATTTGGTAAGCATTCTCTATTTTAAAATCTTCATACTTCCATGCTGAATTTAGAAATTAGAGCTGAATCTTTTTTAACTGGGCTAAAGGAGTTGGGCACCAAAATTTTGCTTAATTTTCTTCAGGCTCGTCTTAAAACCACAGTTTATTGTTCTTGGCAAAAACTAATGTGAAGTTCATGAGGAGACTATGTGCAATAGATCTGAGTGTGTAATTTTTTAATATTTTTTCTTTGACCTAATGTCTATATTGAGTGGGAGAACATTAAGAACAGAAATTCACAGCTTGAGAAGTGTGTTAGATAGTATTTATACACCAAGGTTAGGAGAGAAATTACACATAAACCAGTACAAATGATCAACAACCAGTTCAAATTCATAACACAACAGAAATTCAGTGCATATAAACCTTTTTCAAAACAACCAAAACCAGATTAGGATAACCAATTCAGGCTTAACTAATTTAGGTTAAATCGGTTTACTGAACTTCTGTCCCAGATCCTCTCCAGATCCTCCAGATTCAAGTTAACTCACAGTCCTCCATCCCCAGGATGCTTCCCACTTCCCACTTCCCCTGTAAATCCCTGTCACAGGTTGGGCAGGCTAGTCTGAGAAGATTGAATTGATTCAGCCTCAGTCTTTTTGACTGTCTGTACTTAGCCCAAGGCTATCACTGTTTGAACATCATTCCATGGATCATCATGGAAAATCCTAATATGCTAATCCTAACATTCTAACATAATCACATATATTAGTCTTAAATGTCCAGATATGGACAGTGTATGGTTGGATTCTAGGGAGCAGTATAAGAAAATGCCAGGCCTCTCTCTCTCTCTCTCTCTATATATATATATATATGAACATATACACACATACAGGTTTCCCTTGCTTTATGCAGGTTCTGTATATGCAGATTCGCTCTAATGCAATGACCCTTTTTATGCCCAAAATTCGTTATATGCAAGGTAAATTTGCTCTTATGCGATCAGCAGCAGGTAAGTCTGTGAGGGGAGGAGAAAGAGCCATTACAAATCACAATCCTTACATTCCTCCATCCATTCAAATATGTGCTGATTGTAACTCTCATTACAAACATATGTGGCTCTAAACCTAGAAAAAACACTATTTTCTAGCTGAAAGCAACCATATAAAGATTTATTACTTTATTTTCCACTGTCAAGAAAACATCATCTTCATTTATTTAGATGCAAAAGTTTGCCTTCTATGTTAATGTGTGGAGAAAAATGTTACAAAGAGTGAATATTACTTAAAACCCTCTTAGATTAATCCTTTATCACAAACTATGAATAAACAGTATCAAGTTAGGGTGAAATAAAATGATGTTTATTACTACAGTAGAAAGCTAATTATCTGAATGCAGAACATGTCACCAAACTGCATGGTATGTGATACAAGCAAGACATTTATATATATATATACATACATACATATATATATATATATATATACATACATACATACATATATATATATATATATAATTGAGAAAAAGTGAAATAAACTGATTCAATTTTATAAATTAGACATTAAGTTTAATTGATGTTTAATTAACCAAATACTGTGATTTTAATAGGGGTTTTGGTTACAATTAGTCCTGATTACTGATTCTCTCCTGTATTTCAAACTGAAAATTTAAGTAAACAAAGTGTGTAAAATAGTAGTATTATGTATAATAGGACCTCTTAAATGTTACATTTATACCAAGCTTAATTTGTTAATCAAGGCATAAATGGCAAGAGTGCTACACGTACACTTGATGTAATGTGTCATTAAATGGCAAATGAGCCATTAAAATGTTCCACATGTAATGTAGAACATTTTAATGGCTCATTTGTATAATGCCTTAAATTTAACACATGGCAGGGGCTGGATGTCAGTTGATGGTCAGCCTAGGCCCCAGGCTGCAAGTTGCGGGGTGAGGCTAAAAGTCTTCCCCAGCTGAGGACTTTAAACCCCATGCCTCACAGTTCTGGCCAGGCTTCTGGGAATCAGAAGCTCCCAGGAGGCTGTCAAGCTCCAACAGGCAAGCCCTTCAGCTCCCACTGCTGGAAGTTGCTGACATGCTATGCCAGACTGCACCAGGGCTGACTGGACTCCTTAGTATGGTCTTCAAGCCAGAGTCAACAATCAGCTGATTGCCAGCCTGGCTGGACCTGCAGGCACTCATCTTTCAACTTGCCTGTGCAGGAGGAGCCCATAATTATGTTTACGATTGTGATCCCAGGCTCCCCCTGCACAGGCAAGTAGTAATGGCACATCTGGGATCTCTGATCCCCAAAACACACCTCCTTCCATTCACATGTGGCATGGCAGGAGGCACAATTCTTAGGATCGGCTATCAGATCCCATTGTGGCACTAAATGAAAGTGTGCCTGAGGCCACAGCCTGAGAATGAAATGTTCTTATAAACAAGAGCTACATAAAAGAATGTAATAGAGAGAAACACTTGTCATGCCATTTATAACATTAAAATGTAAATAGTAACATGGCCTCAAGTTTGCACTAACACCCGTTCCCAGAGTGTTTATTATAGCACTAATTAAGACTCATCAGTTATTATGAAGGTTTATCTGGCCCATATTTGAAGAATAAAATGTTCTGTACTGGTATAAAAAGGAAATGTGTTTAAGATCTTCATATACACCTTTTTACCCTTTCCACTGAGTTGAAGCACTTGCTGTCCATGAACACTCACCTAATAAGACACTGTATATTCAGTGAGTTTGTAAAAGAAATGTCTTTTGCACCCAAGTCCCTGTTATCTGAACCTGTATGTCACCACTTGTTTGTACAGGGCTGTCATTCCAATTCTATCCCATAGAATAGCCTAGCTGTGTATACCAAATGGCTACTCTGTAATTGAAGTGGGTGGATAACACTTCCACCAGTATATTTGTATTACAGATTTTTTTCCAGATTAAAATTTCAAGGCACTTACACCATGTAAGAGTTTATATCAACTGTCTGTTCTCTGATTATAGTGCTGTACACTGGTGATTGTTCTAGAGCAGAAGTCTCAGTGGGGTGAATTGGGAATTTATCTTCAAACTGTGGGATATTCATATTTTCTTAAATATGAAAATATTCATATTTACTTGAATATAAGATGATCCTGAACATAAGTGATCCCTTCCAATAATTAGATTCTATGTATGGAAAATCTATACATTTGTTATAATTTTATTTTTTTTTTAGGTATAGAATCTAAGTATTGAAGGGTTGTCTTGAATCCTCTCATAGCCTACAACAGGGAAAGCTGTGGCTGGGGTGGGGAGATCAGGCAGCCCCCTTGCCCTCTGCCCCACCCACGTCTTCCTCCTGCAGCCTTCCTACCACCCCCACCACCACCTGCACTCCCCCCCAGCTCCCCATAGCCTCTGCCCCTTCCTGCAATCTCCCCCAGTCTCTGCCTCTTCCTTACAGACTTCCCCCAATCCAGAGACTCTGTCTTTTCCTCCCCTGCTCCCCACAGTCTCTGCCTCTTCTCTGTCCCGTCACCGCCCCCCATACTGTCAGTCATTGCTTGGGCTCTTCTGTCCTGGAGCACAGCACTTGGAAGCTCAGCCCTGGCCTATCCATACAGCAGTGTCAGCACTGCTGATCAGCTGGGCAAGGGAAGGAGTTTTCATGTGCATGGTGCCTAGGAGAGACCCAAGCCTGAGCTGGAGCTGAGCTGTGCCTGACAGTAAGGGGCAGGGAATGGGATGGGTGGAGGGGCAGAAGCTTCAGAGGGGAAGCAGAAGGGGCAGCTGCTATGGAGATGACTGGTCCCAACCTGGGCTCAGTGTCAGAGTCAGAGCCACTTCAGCCACCTGCTCTCCCCTCTGCCTTGTATGTGAATATAAGACAAGGAGTGTTTTTTCCCATGCTGATGGGGTGGGAGCAGGATGGGGGCTCGCTTGAGTAAATATGGCATATACTTCAGGGAATGCTTCTTTGGTTAGAGTGGATGGGGAAAAGTATCGCTGCCCAACTCGTTGCACCTCTTTCCTTATCTCATTTCATATGGTTAGGTCAAGGATCTGGGTTCCTCAGTATGTAGTTCAAATACAGAGGAAACAGGTGGGTATAGGTGGCCTTTTCTTGACTTAGGCCTTTTTACTAATTACCAATATTTTCACTACTTATTGTAAAATGCATTCTTAAATGCCACTTCTCTCAAAAATTATCAAAATATGGATCCACCTGTGACGGTGTTTGGTAAGAGATGGCAGCTTGTCAATTCTGAAACTAGCTTTCTACAGCCGTATTTAAATATTTGTATCTCATAAATTAAAAATAGTGTCCTACTTGAAATATTTCTACAATTAGTCATCCAATTCCCTTCATAATTAATATAAGAAATATGCAGTTGGTTCCACTGAGGAGTCTCATTATCCCACAGAAGTTTTAAAGTTTTCAGGGTAATCTCAATGGTATTCCTGAAAAAAAAAACAACCAGAAAAACAAATGGACTTCTAAATGACAACATCTATATATATGACAGGTTAAAGAAAACTCATAATAATTATGAGGATGATACTATTTTTACAGGCAAAGATGGATTTTTTTTTAATGATTATTTTGAAAATCAGCACTCCTACAACTTAAGAGTACATTCTTATTCTTTTTGATTTCTTAAAGTCTAAGATCGTTTCATCGGGCTGGGAACTCTTGGGAAACACCAGGCTGCCCCCCATGAATAGGGCTGTAGTCTACATCTTATTCAATATAAGAGATCTCCATGTGTATTACACCCCTACTACTGTACCACATGCCTTTCTTCTAAGCATTACTTCATCTCTGCTTGCTAATTCACCTCTAGGATATTTTGCACTGTGAAGAGTGTGATTCACAGGAAGAAATGCGTGACACAGGTGTGGTGCCAAGTCAAATGGTCTGAGTTTGTAAGAGGGTTCTAATTATGTCATGACATGACTTACTATGTATTTTATTTTGATTATAATACAGACAGTTCAGAGCATACATGACTATACTTACCCACCT